GCTCCTACCCCAGCGTCTGCGCGCTGCGCTGGCGCGCCTGGCTCGCGCCCCGCGGACGCCTCGGTCACCTGCACAAGGCGCGGGATGGCCCCTGCGAGTTCGGTGAGTGCGGTGCCCGTGCCCAGCGGAGGGGCTCCGGAGGGCTGAGCCGGGGGGGACCAAGGATCTTCCTGCACAATGGGACAGGCACTGCCTGAGCCTCAGTTTCCCCGGTGGGATCATCAGTTATTTCCAATCCCCCTCCTTTACCAACTTCATGGTACACCAGCCCTGAACAAAACGGAGTTATGGTGAACCTGCTGCCCCATTTGGTGCTTAAGTACCCATCCATGCTCTTATAGTCAGGCCTGGCCTATTTGCCTAAGGGAAGCTGCAGGGGGAGGGGGCGGGGAGTCCCCAGAGCATGCCACACTAGGTGGGCTCATTGAATGGAGAGGAAGAGCAGGTGAGGATGCCCAAGGAGCAGACGCCCCTCTCAAAGTCTTGGGCCTCATCAAGCCAGAGCACCAGGACCCCAGGTGTAGGGGGCAAGGCCCTATCAGGGATCCAAGGGGAGCACCCATCCAGGACAGGCAAGACGTTTGGAGACTAAAATGATGAAAAGTTTATGTGACCAACAGGAGCCGACCTAGGTTTTGTGGGTGTCACTAGAGCACAGTTTGGAGAGTCCTGCTGTCAGAAAGGGAATGGTAAAGCAGGAATTGCAGCACCGGTGGCTCAAGCCTGTAATCCTCGCTAATCAAGAGGCTGGGAGATCTAGAGGATCAAGATTCAAAGCCAGTATAGGCAGAAAAGTCTGCAAGACTCCCATCTCCAAAATAACCAACAACAGCAACAAAAGCAGGGCTGGAGACTTGGCTCCAGTGTAATAGCAAGCTGTAAGTCCTGAGTTCAAACTTCAGTGCAGGAATTGCTTGGGACTTAGAAATTAAGCTTCATTACAACTATCCCTGGGTGTCACTTTCTCATCTTCTCAGTGTGATTTTTTAAGGCAAACAAAAACTTCAATATGAAGGCTTTGCTAGCCTTTTCTTAAGTGTGGGGGTGGTTTTGAACAGACCTCTGTCTCTCCCTAGGAGAGGTGGGGGGTGGACAGGTGAGTGAGGTAGTAACCAGTGAGTCCCCAGGATCCCGGCTTGCCTCCTGGGTTCCAGGTTTCTGGGGATGAATTCTGGCCTGGGCAGAGAGACCAAGTCCTAAAGACCACGACTAAATACCCACCCAAGTCAGTGCAATGACTGTAGCTTCCAGAGCAGCAGGGTGGGGGGCTTTAGAGTCTCTAGTATTGTGTTACTCCCTTTCCCCTCAAAATACTCAACATTGGATATACTGGAGTCCGGGAGATGGGGCAGGAAGTCTTTCTGTCCCAGGAAACAAAGACACTGAGCTGCCCAGTAAACAGCTCAAGCACAGGGTTACCATGACTACTCTTACTTGGGGCTTACAGTGGGGGACAGAGCTAGCCAGGCATGTTCCCGGCCCTGGCTCCCCCAAAGGACCTTAAATTGGCTCTCTTTTGCTTCTTTTGGAGCCATTGCTGATATCCTTCTGCTCTGAAAGCTTGTTTCCACTGCTTGGCCCTGAAACAGCCCTGTCTCTTTCCTTTCTGTAGTTTCTATCACTCGATTTCACAATGTGCCTTCCTCAGCATTTAATTTGCAGGCAGTTCCCTTTGTCTGCAGACAGGTAGCATGAACTGCACATGCAGGAGACGTAAGAAATGCTGACCAGGCCCCCCACTATCTGCACGGTGCTAATGGGCTCAGATAATTCCTCCCTGGAGTGATATGATGCTCCTAAGAGAACCACCCCCTTTGAAGAGATGGGGACCAAGTCTGCTGTCGTCTACCAGAGACCAAGACCTAGTAAGGGCAGGTGATTTACTTGTCCAGAATATCCAGTAAAAGCTGCTCAACTCTCGAGTCCTGACACCCTGTCCAGTGCTCTTTTAGGACAGTTATTTGGTGGTATTAAGTCAGGCAGATGGCGGTTGCCATGGTTACCAGATGGCAGATGGAAACCCCATACCCCTCATTCACTGAAAATTACCAAATGACAAGTAAATGTGACAGCGCCTCTACTCTGATCTATGGGCTCTGAGACCCACTCTAGGCTCGGGCCTGGGGAGTAAAGAGGAACTCTGAGCAAATGGGAACAGTTCCGAAGCTGCTTTTCATTAATGCCAGGGCATTAGGGTTCCTGAACTCAGTTGTCCCTCTCATCAGCATTTGTGTCACCTACCCCCACCCTGCCCCCAGCCCTGGCACTGTCTCCCTGTCACCTTCTGTCCTCATGTGTTTGTGTCACCCGTGCCCGTGTGCCCTGCGAAGGCTTAAGGATGAAGACAAGGACACATTTCCTAGCCCAGGCCACAGACCCTGCGGCTCTTCATTCTGTGCTGCCCTAAAGCCATCTTTAATTCAGAAGACGCTGCAGGAGTACTTTTTAATAATGCCCCTGGGGACCCCAGGAAGGAAAACACAGCCGGAGCTGGGCTGTTCTGCAACAATATTGGTGATGAAATTACCCCTCCCCAACTCCTCTTCTCTGGCTCCTTCAGTGCAGGAGCACCTGGATTTTTAGGGAAGGAAGAATGAGGTATTTCCCAGGGTGACATGTTTCCTACACAGGTCCCTGAGAAGCAGCAGGAAGCTGGTTTGGATAGAAATGCCACTCTTTCCGCCTCATCATGAGAGTGATCCTTCGATCTCTGCATTGATTTTAGACCTGTGTGTGGAGAATTCTTTATAGTTAGACATTGCTTTTGAATCCATCTTCTTACTTGAGTTTTGCAACTGGTAGGGAGGACCCAAACCCACTTTCTAGAAGAAGATACTGAGGCATACCAAAGGAATTCCTGAGCGCTACCTGGGCAGTCCCCGCTGAAATGGAGTCTAGTCCAGTCCAGGTGTGCAGAGTCTGCGTATTGCTGACATCCATCTCCAGCCTGCAGGGAATCGAGCCCTTGGTCAACTTCCGTGGGCTCTCTAGAGATCCTGAATCTTAGAAAATTCACCTTGGTTGGGATTCTAGCTCCACTTACAAGCCCTAGGCGCGTGTTACCAGGAAACCATAAGAGGCAGCAAATGGCACTTTGTGAGAGGGACAAAGAAAGGGGCCTTTCACTCAAAAGCCTTTCATGTCGAGGGAGGGGATTTGAGGCACAGGCGGCAGGCAGCAGCGGGATTAAGCTGCGTTCGCTCCACATTGTATTGTGACTATTAGCATAAATTATCAGGGCTGTTCAGTGCGTTGCTTATTAAACTCTTCGGTTGTACGCTTCTTAATACAGCAGATGGGGTCCTAGGGGTGACTTTTTGCTATTCTTCCTCTCCCTGGCACCATTAACTTGGAAAAATCTCTGAGGTATTTGAGATGATCTTTCATTGCCGCCACCAAGGATCCATTTAATTGACAGAGTAGAGAGATTGATGATCATCACACACTATAATAATAATATCAATCCTTTTCATCTATGCAGATCCACAGTTAATACAGGCTCATCTATTACCTGCTGGCATCCAGGGAGGTATAAGGCAGAGTTTGTTCATTTGCAGACAAGGAGGACATGATTCCCAACTGCCCAAGCTTGAGTGGTTGAGTCTTCTCTGGTACTATTGTCCCCACTGCATGGTCCTGTCTCCTGTGATCTGCGTGATTATCCTATATTACCTACTGTTTAACCCATTGGCGCTATCCCACGTTGCCAGGGCTGCTGTCAGCATGATCAGAAGAAAGTGGTTAGTAAGGAAGAGCTTGAGAGATGGAGCTGGCACATTTGAAGACAAGGCTGACTTGGAGTTGGCCCTCTTCCTGAAAGCCACTTTTTTCCCATTCAGTTCCTCTAGGTCCCTCACATTTCCTGATCTTTGGTTTCCTCATCTGTAAAATGGAGATAAAAGCACCTGCCACTCAGAGCCCCTGTGTAAAGGGTCCTTTGGGGGAAGAGGCAAGTTAAGACAGCAGTTAAGAAGAACTTCGAGGGCTGGGAAGGTGGCTCAGTGGTAGAGCGCATGCCTTACATGCCAGAGGCCCTGAGTTCGATTCCTCAGCACCACATAAGCAAAAAGAAAAAAGCCGGAAGTGGCGCTGTGGCTCAAGTGGTAGAGTGCTAGCCTTGAGCTGAAGAGCTGAGGGACAGCGCCCAGGCCCAGACTTCAGGCCCCACGACCGGATCCCCCCACCCAAAAAAAGAAGAACTTCGACTCTAGAGCTGAAGACTAGTTCATATCCTCTCCTCACTTCCCCACCATTCGAGGCCAGGTGACTCTGAGCAGCGCCGCCCAGCTGGCCATGAGTATGATTGCTGGAAAGAAAGCAGAATTCTGGAAGCAGAATAGTGCTTTTCTTGCAGCGAAACACTGCTTTCGATGGTACTATCATTATCATTATTACTATTACTAGGAATATTAACTATGAAGATCTATTATGCTTATGAGTAAACATGTTTTAAGTTTAAAATCGGACGTGTTAAAATTAAAAGCCGATCTCAGTGTACAATCTGAGATCATGGGACTCTTCTATATCTTGGAAATGTTGGTAGCTCATGACTGTAGGCATTTGTTCCAACTTAGAAATGCAGACTGAATGTGTTATACTGTATGCACATGTATAATTAAAGACATAAATAGTGACATGTGCCTTTAACACTGAAAGCAAGGAGCTCTTTTGTGATCCAAGTGGTATTTCCACAAAATCGGTGGCAAGATCAATGTTTCCAAGACAGCCTTTTCTTAATTGTAGTTATTGTAAGAGAAGGAGAGGAAGGCATGAGGAGAGAGAGAGAAGAAATGTGATTTACTAGCTTATTCATTTAGGCCTGCGAGGGAGTGATGAAATCTCATTTAAAATTTATGACTTGACGTGAATGAAAGTGAAACACATTGATGGCGTGTCCCCTTGGAATCCATTGAGGGCTCTGGAATAAGAAGCAGCTCCGATTGTCCCACCGTGAGCCATTTGAGGGCTGCCTTGTGGCTGGAGGCAGCATCCCAGCGCCTGTGTGGTTGAGGAGGTGCTGCCAGGAAGATGTGAATAAATTAGCCTCCTCTTTGTCATCACAGATGGGGCTCCTGCCAGGGAGCACGGTGTGTGGTGTTGGTGGCTGCAGGCAGTGTTAGAAGTCTAGGAGTTCACTGGGGGTGTTGGCTATCCTCCGGGATGTGGGTTGGCACAGTGCTTTGGAGGGGAGTCACATGGGTACTGCTGGAGGGGTAGGCTGATCAGGAGTGAGGGTGGAGGACAGCTGAGGATGGGGAGGGCTCCCTGGAGTGACTCAGGGTGTTGTGAGCTCTGGAGGACAGACCAGGGATCAGCAGGGGGCAATTACACAAAGGCAAGAATTGTTAACTGCAGGTTGATTTAAGCTTGCTCCTTCCCCGCTCCCTCCTTCCTTTCTTCTTCCCTCCCTTCCTACCTCCCTCCCTCCCTTTCTTCCCTCCCTTTTTCCCTCCCTTCCTTTTCCTTTCTCTCCTTCTTTCTTTCTTCTCTCCCACTCTCTTTTTTTCCTTTCCTTTTTCTTTTTTTGTGTGCTAGTCCTGGGGCTTGAACTCAGGGCCTGGGTGCTGTCCCTGAGCTTTTGTGCTCAAGTCTACTACTACTAATTGAGCTCTATACAGCTCTACTTCTGGCTTTTTAATTGAGATAAGAGTCTTATGGATTTTCCTACCCAGGCTGGTTTTGAAATACAATTCTCAGATCTCAACCTCCCGAGGATTACAGACATGAGCCACCTATGGCTTCTCTCTCTGTCTCTGTCTCTTTCTCTGTCTGTCTGTCTATCTCTGTCTCTCTCTTATACAAGGCATTGAACTCAAGGCCTCGTGCTTACTAGGCAGCTGATCTACTTCTTGAGACACGCCCCAGGCCAAAGCCAAGCCTTCTTACCAGCACAGCACTCCAAGAGTGCTGTGGAGAGTCTAGGAGGGACATGGCTCTGCAGGTAGTGAGCTCTCCTCCAGTGGAGGTATGCAGGTGGAGGCTGGATAAGCATATCCCAGTTGGTCAAGCACAGGGCACAGGATCTTGGAGCATTTGGGTGCTACATGTCTCTCTGGTTAGGAACTCACTGGCTTGGTAAGGTTTGCTTCACTGTCTAGAAGAGCCCTGGAGTGGCCCTATTTGCTCTTTCATTTGCCTATATTTCTTCATCTAGTTTGCTAGACTGGTTCCTGAGCCTCCCTCCCCCATTTGCATATTGTGCTCCAGAAGCCATGCTTTCTCACCCCATGGTGGATCTCCCTCTTTTGGTAGGTCATGGGGCTTGAACTCTGGGCTTGGGCACTATCCCTCAGCTCTTCAGCTCAAGGCTAGCACTCTACCACTTGAGTCACAACACCACTTCCAGTTTTCTAGTGGTTTTTTGGAGATAAAAGTCTCAGGGACTTTCCTGTCCAGGCTGGCTTTGAACCGCAGTCCTCAGATCTCAGCCTCCTGAGTAGCTAGGATTACAAGCATGAGTCACCAGTGCCAGCTTCTCCCTCTTTTAAATGGAGGATGCTTGAGCTGAGAGCTCTTCTCTGGCCAGACATCCACCTTTACCTTGTCAGGAACACCACAGCTTGACCCCAGGGTGGCTGAGTTTGTGCCCCAAGCAGGCAGGACCAGGTAGAGAACCCTGGACTGAAAGGTCAGCTGTAACACAGCAAGCTAAAGCATTCAGAAAAGCTGGTCTCAGCTGCGCTTGCCTAGCTGGTTCCTGCAGGGTGGGTGAGCTGTCCACCTGTGGGGCTGGGGGGTGGTAAACATTTCCCTATGCACAGGGAAAGCAGGGCATGGAGGGGCGGTGGCATTCAGGAGGCTGAACTTGAGCTTCATACATAGCCCATGTGCACAGATCAGATGCCTAGTATGGGAGGAAACAGTATAGAGGGAGAGCTATGAATGCTGCCTAATACAAATGGCTCTAGAGATCTCTCCACCCTTTCTCTCTCCCTACTACAATCTACAGACTTGAACCACATTCACCCCATCCCCTGAGTCACCCCGGCTCGGTTTCCTCAGTCTCTGAAAATTGGGTTTCCAGGCTCACACTTGAGCACTGGAAATGAGGAGGAGTGTGGAGGTTGGCAGAGACCATTGGCCTCGGGGTTGTGTACATGCAGGTCGTGACTGGAGTGGACTGCTGGGGTCTTAGCTCCAGAGTACTGGTAGTTGTTCTGCATGGCATTCCTCTTGAAGTTCCCGTATGTGAAGACAAAAACGAAAAAAAAACCCACCCCAAATGCCCTCTGTAGCCTCTGCCATGGATGATATGTTTGTTGGTCTCCTAGGAGTCGGCCATGCAGCCTGAAGCTGAACTGTAAGTAGCTGGCTGTGGGAATCCTAGAGGGGACCCCTGGGGGTGGAGCGGATGCACTGAGACGCTGGCTCTGTCACTCTCTCTGGACCTGGTTTCCTGGTGGTAAAACATGGCAGTGGGTCAGGAAATCTGCAGGGAAACTAGAAGCTGGCCAGGTTGTTGTGGGGGAGGGGGTTGAGAGGGGTGGCGAGATCTTCCATAGGATTCACCGCTCTTCCATGGCAGGCCTGCGGGGGCAGTGTGAGAGAGGAGCCCTCCTGAAAGGCGTGTTCCTCTGTCTTCTCGCAGCTCCCGTGGTCCTCTTGCCACCTCAGAGTATCCACAATGTCACCGGGGCACAGGTGTACCTGTCCTGTGAGGTGAGGGCTGAACCGGCCCCTGTCATCACATGGAGGAAGGTATTTCTGACTCAAAACTCATGTGTGTGTGTGTGTGTGTGTGTGTGTGTGTGTGTGTGTGTGTGTGTGGTTACACACCGATCACAATATTGGAAAAAGAGCCCTCTTACCCCAGGGCTCTCCTGGAGAAGGAAGGTTGCAGTCCTTCCTGTCCTTCCTTGGCCACTTAGGTGCCCAGAAAGTTCTACTGTCTGGAAGTGGTGCTGTGGCTCAAGGGGTAGAGCACTCGCCTTGAGCTGAAGAACTGAGGGACAGTGCCCAGGCCCAGAGTTCAAGTCTCATGACTGACAAGAAAAAAAAGAAAGGAAGTTCTACTGTCACCTAGCCAATCTAACGTCAGCCACGGAGTCAGTAGAGCCCCCCTTTCTCTGTGGATGAGCTATGGACAGACTCAACTTGGTGACAGGAGACTCAGTCCTGTCACAAACCCTAAAAACCAAGTTTTGAGATAGAATTGGCAAGAATTGTGCCTTTCCTTAGCAACCTGGATCTAGGACCCAGGACAAGAAATCCGAAATTCCCAACAGGTTGTTCCCTTGTGGTCCAGCAGGGGGTGCTGTCCACACACATTCAGATTTAAAAACTGATCGACCTGGCTTTGAATATGAATAAGATGCTAGAGTTTCAGCTTTTCAGTCCGTGGGAGGATGCAGATGGCAAGGAGGCTTGCGGGATGCTCCCTACCCAGAAATACTTTTTCTAAACCACTTGTGGTTTCTCTGTCCTCTGTAGCTCATGCACTCTCCTGAGGGCACTGAAGTGTTGGAGGAGTTGCCTGGGGACCATGCCAATATAGCTGTCCACGTTCGTGGGGGCCCTGCAGACCATGAGGCCACAGCCTGGATCCTGGTGAGTGTTTGTGGTGATTAGTTATCACTTTTATCTTTCTATAACATGTTAACTCTCCAAAGTTGTTCCAGAGCAGCAGTGAGATAGGCAGAGGCATTGTCTCCTAGGAGCCGCATGATCTGCTGAAGCAGGTAAAATAATGGCTTCCACAAGGTGTCTCCATTCTACTGTCCAGCACCACTGGGTATGCTGGGCTGCAAGGCAAGGGATTAACGTGGCTAAACAGCTAACTTCAAGATAACAGTAGCCCCTTCAGACGCTGGTGGCTCACATCTGTAATCTTAGCTACTCAGGAGGCTGAGAAATAAGGATCAAGATTGGGAACCAGCCCCAGGCAGGAAAGGCTTTGAGACTCTTCAATGAACCAAAAAAGCTCAAAGAGGAGCTGTGGTTGAAGGGGTAGAGCCTTAAGAACAAAGGCTCAGGGACAGTGCCCAGAATTCAAGCCCCAAGGTCTACAGAAATTTAAAAAAAAAAAAGATAGAGTAGCCTGGATTATCCAGGTGGTCCCAATTTAAAGATTAATCTTGGGCTGGGAATATGGCTTTGTGGTAAGAGTGCTTGCCTAGCATGCATGAAGCCCCAGCTTCAATTCCTCAGTACCACAGTAAACAGAAAAAGCTGGAAATGGAACAATGGCACAAGTGGTAGACTTAGTGCTTGCTGGCACTTTGGTTTTTAGCCTGCTGAGACTCACTTGGACTGCTGAGCTCCCGAACCATAGATGATTACTTATAGTTAGGCTTGCCACTAGGCTTGGGACTATTTGTTGTAGCAGCCAGAAGGAACTAATACACCTGTCTCAAGTCCATGTGTCTAGCAAGTCCTTCTCCACAGTAGCTGTCCTGCTACTCATAGCAGTTTTGCTAAGAGAATTCTTGGTGCTTGAAAGACTAAGGGACAAGGAGCCTGGAAGGGGGCAGCGGGGGAGCTTCATGTTAGTTTGGTCACTTTTCTTCTCGGAGCCTCGGTTTCTTATGAACCTCACAGCCTGTGACTGTGAGTCTCCTGTAGAGATCAAGCTGCTAACGCCTGCCCTTTACCTTCATTCATGAGTTCAAAATGAGATGGTCTGTTTAACCCTCCCCATGTCCTGTGCAGCCAACAGAACAGTGAAAGAGGAGTGAGCTGGTTTGGATGTGGCCCAGAGTGCCTTTGAGATGCTCTCTGAGGATATCACCCACATTTCCTCCACACTCTGGGAGATCTGATGATGCTTTTCCACCCAGCGGGGAGACCTGTAATGCAGCGGGCTCTGTTGCATTTTCAAATCAAGCACATTCCCTCATTTTCTTATGAGAAAAGATAAGGGGCAGGCTATCTCGGCGGGCATTTTGGAAAGGCCGCCTCCCTAGGGAACGCTTTGTGTGGCTCTTTCTTTGGCCAGTCAATTTTTGATCTTTTAATTTACAGTATTTTCCTCCTAATCCATTCCTGTTGCCTTTGGTAAAAGGACAAGACAGCTCCCAGTGTAATAAGTAGGAGTGTGGCGCTTTCAAGAGGGCTCAAGAAGGAACTTACGCTGGGCTACTTGCAGCTAACAAGAAAAACAGGGAGCTCTGTTGTATTCAGAAAAGGAACACATGTGCAGATGGGACATCAGAACCAAATAAGGATGGCTAGAGGTGTGGCTCAGTGGTAGAGTGCTAGCCTAGAAGAATGAGGTCCTGATTTGAAAACCCTGGTGGTGGGGAGGGGAAGAAACAGAAGAAGGAAGTCAGTGTTCTGTGCCATACATAACCATCTGAATGTGCCTGTTGTATTTCTAGATCAACCCCCTGAGAAAGGAAGATGAAGGAATGTACCAATGCCACGCGACCAACGTGATTGGGGAGTCCCAGTCCTATGGCACTGTGACAGTCCTTGATCTGAGCAGATACAAAAGCCCCCTAGCTCCGGCTGACCACCTGTGATGAGTAAGGTATGAGTTCCAAGTCATTTGGGTACTTTTCCCCATGTCACAAGGTGGGCAGGGAAGAAAGAAAGAAAAAAGAAAACTATGTCAGTGAAAGGAGCCAGAGGAAACGCAGAGACAAGCAGGGCCATGCGGAGGTGAGCAACTGGGCCTCTGTGTCCACATACGTTTCTCTCTGAGGTCCTCAGCATGCAAGGTCAAGAGCTATGAACCTAAGAAGGCATACGCATAAAAAGCTAGCTGTGTGTTTTTCTGTTTCTGAGTCTGGAGAGAATATTTTCTCTTGGTCCTGAGAGATGGCAGACAGTGCTTTGTAGCCATACCTATATGGAAGCATTCCTACGAGACTGGAGACTGTCATGTTTTGTCTGTCTCTTCGGGGATACCTCCTTGTGGGTCCCCTGACCCTGTCTTGCTGGTTTTGGCATTGTATGGTGCTTAGCAACACATCTCATGGGCAGGAGGAGGCAGGATCACGGCATTTCTTCTGCCCAAGTGGCCTTTAGTGTTCCTAGTCACATAACCGACAGCTAGGGTGGCTTCTGTCCCTCACCCACAGGTGACCATGAACTTGGGAAATGAGTCACTTTATAAGTCAGTTTTTTTATGCAAATCAGTCCCCAAACTGTGCTGGTTTTGAGGCCTGAACATCACCCCCTGCTCAAATTTCATGTCACTGCTCTTCCATGGCCAGCTGGAGGAGCAGTCCCAGCAATGAGCAAGAAGCCCTTAGCAAGCACACATTTCTCATTTCAAGTTTCTGTTCAGATGTGACTTCCCTCCTCCTAGCTGCCTACAGTCCATTGGCCAAGGTGAGCCATGCCCAGGTTGGATGGAGTGTGCTATACATACTCAGCTCACCGGAGAGAAAGGGCGGAGAGGCATGATCCTCTCCCAGGTTACCTCCCCAAGGCCGTCCAGCAAGGTGTTAATAGAACATGTGCCAACTGTGACTTTACCTTACCTGCTGGTGATTGATGATGGATCCTTGTGACCTAGACAGAGGAGAAGCCCCCCGCTCTCCTCTCCCAGGTGGTCTAGACAGGTCCCTTCCCCTTTCAAGGTCATGCTCTCTTAACCTGTGATGGTAGCATTGAAACTGAATTTTACCAGTGTCCTTGTCGTCCTGCCATCCTAGAATAAGATGGCCCTATGAAAAAGTATAATATGTAATAATGTATGGTTTACATATTGTTAGATATCCAGGTTTCATATCCCCTCTACAGTATGCAGCATTAGACAGCCTTTGCTTGCATGCCTCCGGGAATACAAAGCTCACTACCACCACTGGGATTTCCAGTGGTTGGAAAATTCTGCCCTGGAACACCTTTCCATTGGTTCTAAATGTATTTCTTGGGCATCCCCAGGCCCCCTTCCCTGCGCCTCCCCCATAAACTCCATTGCCTGCTGGGAAGATTTGAACTTATGCATCATTCCTCCACCTCCCATGTAATACATAGCGACAACGGCAAGAAAGTGGTTTGGGGTTTTTTTTGTCCCTCCCCCTCTGATTTTTCCTTCTCTTCTTCCCAGGTTCTTAAGAGAAATGGAACATGGAATGACAGAGAAGTCAAGAAACAGATCACTGTGCTTTGTGAAGACTTGGAAAAGCTGTGTTTGTACATGACCCCCTTTTGTATGTTTTTAAAAACTGAATGCAAACTAGATTCATATGCAGATGTAGTTTTTAGCAGGACTGGTATTAGGAAAGCTGACAGTGCATGTGGCTGTTTTTTTGTTGTTTGTTTTGTACTGTAGGAATGAATTCTACCATGAGAATTTTTTTAACTATTTCCTCCCAGGGAAGATCTCTTAACGTCTGTTAACTACAAAGGGCTGTACACGAGGTGAGGACTCTGACGCTACCTCATTTGTCTGTGGCTGATTCCTGGTGCTCTATGACTTCATGTGTTGAGGTCCAAGGAGGGAGGAGGTCCCAGCTTGCCTTGCCTGGATGACCTGGGCAGCCCCTCCCTTCCGGGGGCCTTGGTCTTCCTCCCTCTGACTGTGGCATTTGGACTGGGTGTTACCAGCCTCCTTTCTAGTTCTATGGTCCTAGTATAAGATGGCCCTATGCAAAAAAACAAAACAAAAACAAAACACAAAAAACATAGTGTGGGCCTAGCATTCTTTCTTAACTGGTTTCCTCCAAACCAAACCATTGCTATCATGACTTGGCCTTTGGGCTAAGACCAAACATAAAAACAAATCAATGCTTCATACCAGGGTCAGGACAGTTGGTGGCTATTGTATTCCTCCTTTTTCCCCATTTTAGAGAGATTTAGTCCTGGATGGGAATCTTTGCCAGATTCTAGAGTCCTTTGCTAGGCGTTTAGGGACCAAGCCATCCCTGTTAGTCCTACATTCTCTAAGCAAGTGGCCAGAGACCAGGTTTCTGTATGTTACCTTGTAGAAAGGAGTCAGGTGCTATCTCTGGGCTGTGAAATTACAGTACGTTAGAATGCAGTAGGCTATACCCCAGAATAGGTTTCCCTACCACCACCAACTCCCATGTTTAATGAGCAGAAAAGAAAATTATTTACTCTCTGGTTAAAAATAAAATTGAGCCCTAAGTGATTGCAATTTCTTAATTCAGAATGGGGATCTCTCACTGTGGACAGTTCTTAAACTTTATGAAGCAAAATTTCCCATCCTTGAGCCCGTCCCTGCATGGAGGGCAGGCCAGCCAGGCCTGGGAAGCAGCTCCTGGCCTGGGGGCCATCATCACCTCAGGCTGACCTCAGGTGGCCTCCTCTGCCTGCTTCTGAGAAGCTTCCTGCTTCTCAGCATGATCCAGAAACCAGGGGAAGGATGCTGCTGCCAGTTCACAGGTTTGGGGGTTCTTGCCAAGGTTCATTCAAGTTTTAAGCCACACTCAGTCCTCTCCCAACTAGTCATTATGTTTTTGGAACTCTGAATATTCTGCCTCTCTAAGCCTGACCCTCCACATCTAAAATAATGGGATGCTGTCACCCTGGTAAAAGACCTGGCTGGGAATCTAGGAACACGGGGTCCATTTGCATGTTCATCCCAGGCTTGCTGTATGACCTTGGGAAAGCCCCCTTTGCTTTCTGGACCTCCAGGTCTTCATTTGAATAAAGAGGAAATGAAATTAGATGAGTGTTTTTCCAACTTTGAAACACTGGGGTCCCTTCTTTTAATAAACTCAGAACGGAAATGGATCAGATTGGAAGCTGTTCTTGGCTGTCAGTTTGGGGCTGCTGGGGAGCTGCTCACATAACCACCCCTCTGGGCACCTCCTATCCCGATCCTCTCTCCCTGCTGTGGATGTTTCCATTTCTGAGAGTTTGCTATGAATTCCCCTGTGAATAGAACAGTTGGGAGATGACTTGCTCAGATGCCTAGTGATGTAATCTCAGAAGAGATAGGGGCCCAGTGACTGGAGAAGGTAGGAGAACCCCAGTGTGCATCTGCTAATAAGGGCCTTCTGCAAAATCCATTGAGGTGTAGGCCAGCCTATGGCCCACACCTATAATCCCAGCTACTTAGAAAGCTGAGATGTAGAGGATCTTGGTATGAAGCCAGCCTCCATCTTCAAAATAACCAGCAAAAAAGCCAGGCTAAAAGATGATTCAAGTAGTACAACACCAGCTTAGCAAGCAACTCAGACAAGCACGAGGCCTGAGATCAAATCCCAAGACTAGAATAAAAAAGAAATCATCTCCAATTTGCCTTGTTCACGTCAGAGGGCTGAGTTTAGGTCCAGAGTAGAGGGTGGCTGGAGCCCCCTAGTGGAGCTCATTTTAGCATCATATTTACATGCAGCATACATTATCACACAAGGTCACTGAGGCCTAAAAGGTAGAGTAACAGTTATTTTGCTTAATGGCTTTCACATGTGGGAGCCCCGAGACCGCTTCCAGGCTGACACCACTTGGAAGTATAATTCCCTCCCCCACCCCACCCCCTCTGTTTTTACCTACCCTATTTTCACAGGTGTCATGGTAGCACAATCCTGCACCTGAAGCCAATGTTTTTAAGAATGGTCACTGAGGTCTCTGTTGCAAGAATGCTGCAGGAGGAGGGGAGGGTCCAAGTCCCATTGGTATGACTTTGCCATCCTGCATGCATCGTATTCTTTTCTGCTTGCCACAGCTACTTCAGGCCACCCTTCTATTTGCACCTGGGGTGGATGGTTACCCCCATCCAGACCCCTCACTTCAGATTTTTGTTGTTGTTGTAGGTGGTGTAGTTGTCTTGGGGCTTGAACTCTGGGCCTGGGCGATGTCCCTCAGTTCTTCAGCTCAAGGCTAGCACTCTACCACTTGAGCCACAGCGCCACTTCTGGTTTTCTGGTGGTTTATTGGAGATAATTGTCTCACCGACTTTCCTGCCCCAGCTGGCTTTGAACCATGATCCTCAGATTTCAGCCTTCTAAATAGCTAGGATGACAGGCGTGAGCCACCAGTACCCAGCTCACTTGAGATTTTTAACCAACCCTAATTATCTTACATTTTGCCAGCCCTGATCCTAAGCTTCCAGAACTTTCCAGTCCTACTAATTAAGCATACGAGTATTGCAGTCACTCGCTGGTGTGCACTGTCGCATCCCACACATACAGTAGCATTCTCCTGGTGCCAGAAGGACGCAAGGTATGGAGGCTGTGTGCTTGGTGCCTTTGGGCTGTCATATTTGGGAAGCCGTCCCAGAACTAGGCTGCCTGCTACTTGCGAAGATATTTTGAGAGAGAGAAAAAACATTCATGTAATGTTCATCATGGCCTGTTACAGTTGACCTGTTTTATTATTTGTTATTGCTCATCCTTATGCCTAATTTACAAATTCACCTTTCTCTTAGGCATGAACATCTAGGAGAGTCACAGTATGTATAGGGGGTAGAGCTGTCTTTGGGAGTCTTAGCAACTCTCAGGGGCTGGGATGTGGCTTAGTGGTAGAGTGCTTGCCTAGCATGCATGAAGTCCTGGGTTTGATTCCTCAGTACCACAGAAACAGAAAGAACTGGAAGTAGCACTGTGGCTCAAGTGGTAGAGTGCTAGCTTTAAGCAAAAGAGAAGCTCAGGAACAGTGTGCAGGCCCTGAGTTCAAGCCCCAGAACTGGAAGAAAAAAAAAAAACAAAGACCTGGTTTGGACCAAAGTAGATTCCCTCCCTCCTCAGGTTTTGTGGTGAAATTAATTATTATATTTAAGCAAAATCACCTTCCCCTCCTCTGACTCCAGGGATGGATGATGTAGAGCAAAATGAATAAGAATGAGCAAATGAATGGACAGTGAACAGTCTCCCCTAATGAATTTCCTCTTTCCTATCCTTTTCTGGGGCCTTGTGAACATTAAATGAGAGAACGGTTATTATGTGATATTTTAATTAATTAAGGGAAACCACAGCGCTCTAGAGTCTGCAGCTTAATGAATTCCGGATGTGGAGCCTACACCTAGGGAAGAGCTGGAAGCCAGTGCTTGCCCGCACTGGAGCCCTGGGGCTGACTGTTCTCCCTGGGAATGAAAGCTCAGCCTTGATTGATGGCCTCCAAGACTGGGAAGTGCCTGTCACTGAGGCTGTCTGTTCCTTGTGCCTGGATCTCTCCCAAAGTATTCAGGAGTGAATGAATGGTTGAGCGGAAGGAAATACTCTTAATGATAGGAGTGGTAGGGACAGAGCCTCTCCCTTCTCCATGCATGAACTGACATAGCAAATGCGTCTTCAGGACACCTACAATGCCCTTGGCATGCTTGGCATTGTTCCTGGCCTCACAGGCACAGTGGGCTTCCTGTAGTACCAGATGTGCATGTTTGTCTGCTGCTAAAGGCATAAGTAGTCATCACACAGGTAGGGTAGGCATTGGTTGGAGCTGGAGGAACTGGAGCTAAGGTCAGGCATTAGGACCATCTGTAATTCTGAGCCTCTGCTTCCTTGTGAGCCTAGGGAGGTTAGCATCACTGGCCTGACCTGTGGCTCTGAGGATATCAAGTATCACCAGGGGATGCTGAGGGCCTGTGGCTCTGCAGAGGGGTGACAGAAGGTGGGAGAGAAAGCAGATATGCTTGGAGAATGAGGACATCTAGCAAGACAAAAAAAATAGACCCATTTCATCATGTACAAACTATCAAGCACTGCCATGGGACAAGACCAAGGTGCCATGAGCTTAAGAGGCCAGATGTGGCCTAAGTGAGAAGTGCAGCAAAAGGCCTTGTAGGAAGTAGGCCTTAGTTGGAGACAAAAGGACTAAATTTGGAGATTAAGGAGAAAGGAACAGAATGAGCAAAGCTAGATTCAGGGAGTGAACAGCCCACAAGCCGGGGTCAATGCATTCAACATCAACCATATCTGTCTAGAGAGACCCTGTGTGGCAGAGCCAGCAGTGCGCTGTCCTCTGAAACATGCCCCCCCCATCATGTAGCATTGTACAGACAATGTCTATATCCAGCTTCCCTTTGTGCAAACAATGTTGGTTCATGTTTTTGCAATGAAATGTGAATAGGGTAGGGGGGTTCCATTCAGAAGCCAGGCCATACTTCATTTGCCATACTTCATCTCTGTACTTTCTGCCCCAACTTCTAGCTGATCTGGAATGTCTGAGGTCCTGGGCAGGAAGGTTTTCTTTTGTTTTGTGAGTCATGGGGTTTGAACTCAGGGCCTGGGCACTGTCCCTGAGCATATGTGTGTGTGTGTGTGTGTGTGTGTGTGTGTGTGTGTGTGTGTATTTTTTGTAAAGATACTGTACAGAGGGGTTACAGTTACATGAGTAAGGTAATGAGTACATTTCCTATGGAGCATTGTTACCCCCTCCTTTGTTTTTCCCCTACCATCCCTTCCCTCCCTACCTCCCCAATTCCTCCCTCCCCAGACCCCAAGTTGTAAAGTTCCTTTTCAACATAGTGTCTTGTACATCTCATTGTCAACCCATATCCTTGTTTCAGCATTTTGTTATTTCCCTTCCCCTCCCCAAATTAGAAAAATGTATATACAAGATGCAGGGCACCAGAATCAAATACAGTGAAAACAGGGGTTATACCATGGGGGAAGAACATACATGTTAGGTTTTTAAAAAGAGGTAGCCGAGTAAGAACCACACCACGCACATGGTATTCAGGTAAGGGGTAGGTTTATTCATCGTTCCGGCTGGCACCAGGCCCAGTTGGCACTTCACGCGTCTGGGAAAGGCCTGGGAAAGACCTGGGAAAGAGAGCGTCTGGGCCTGGGCTAGGCCTTATCTAGGGTATGGGCAGAGAAAAGTGTGGCCACATCAAACTCAGATGTGACATCAGCAGATACAGATGTGACCTCTTCCAGGTGTGCCAGTAGCCTAGGTAATGCAGGTACTGGGTGGAGACTTTGCTGCGAGGAGGGTGGATTCTGCTCACCATCCAGGAGCGGACCTTACACTACAAAAGAAAGAAAAAAAAATCACATAGTACATTAAAAACAACAGCCACAAAGAAAAAACCTCTTGTGTCCCTATCTTGGGGTTCATTTTGCTTAGGATCATCTTATATGGTCATATTTACATAGCTTTTGACCTTTTCTGCTTGTCTGGTAAGATTATCCTAGATGTAAACTAGCTATGGCAGATAAGGGAAACCATGAGACCTATGTTTCTTTGGGTCTGGCTTACTTCACTTAACATAATTTTTTCCAAGTCTTTCCACTCCTAACAAATGGGGCGGTGTCATTCTTTCTAATGGAGGCATAGAATTCCATTGTATCACATTTTCTTGATCCATTCATCTACTGAGGGGCATTTGGGTTGGTTCCGTATCTTAACTATGGTGAATAATGCTGCGATAAACATAGTTGTGCTGGTAGCTTTAGCATGGCCTTGTTTGTTCCCTGAACTTTTTCACTCAAGGCTAGATAGAGCTCTATCACTTTGAGCCACAGCTCCACTTCTAGTTTTCTGGTGGTTAATTCGAGAAAAGAGTCTCACGGACTTTCCTGCTTGGGTGACTTTGATCCCCAATCCTCAGATCTCAGCTTCATAAGTAGCTAGGATTATAAGTCTAGCCCTAGGCAGGAGTTTTAAGCTGTATAGGTTTAAGCATATAGGATATCCAGTGCTCCTTTTATTCAGTCTTTGGGAGCATGAGATTCTAAAGGCAGGTCTCTCCC